TCTGATGGAGTTCCAGGCTCCTGGCTTTGACTAGGCTAAGCCCTGGCCATTTCAAAACCATCTAGGGAGTGAACCAGTACATGGAAGATCATCTTCTTCCTTCTCCCTCTCCCTGGAGGTCTGCCTTTCAAAGAAAATATTTTTAAGAAATGATACTGGCTGGCGCCGTGGCTCACTAGGCTAATCCTCCACTTTGCGGCACCGGCATACCGGGTTCTAGTCTCAGTTGGGGCGCCAGATTCTGTCCCGGTTACCCCTCTTCCAGGCCAGCTCTCTGCTGTGGCCAGGGAGTGCAGTGGAGGATGGCCCAAGTCCTTGGGCCCTGCACCCCATGGGAGACCAGGAGAAGCACCTGGCTCTTGCCTTCGGATCAGCGCGGTGCGCCAGCCACAGCACACCGGCTGTGGCGGCCATTGGAGGGTGAACCAACGGCAATGGAAGACCTTTCTCTCTGTCTCTCTCTCTCACTATCCACTCTGCCTGTCAAAAAAAAAAAAAAAAAAAAAAAAGAAAAGGAAAGGAAAGAAAAAAAAGAAAGAAAGAAATGATACTTAGGGGGCCAGCGCTGTGGCTCACTTGGTTAATCCTCCCTCCACCTGTGGCACCGGCATCCCACATGGGCACCGGTTCTAATCCCAGCTGCCCCTCTTCCAGTCCAGCTCTCTGCTGTGGCCTGGGAGGGCAGTGGAGGATGCCCAGGTGCTTGGGCGCCTGCACCCTCATGGGAGACCAGGAAGAAGCACCTGGCTCCTGGCTTCGGATTGGCCATAGTGGCCATTTGGGGGGTGAACCAACGGAAGGAAGACCTTTCTCTCTGTCTCTCCCTCTCATTGTCTAACTCTATCTGTCAAATAAAAAAAAAAAAAAAAAAAAAAAAAGAAATGATACTTAACAATCTGCTGGATATAACCTCCAAATCCACACTCCACCCTTCCCTGCTCTGTTCCCAGCAAAGCCCAGGGAGAAAACCTGAAGGGAGCACATTAGTTGCCTCCCCAGCCCTCCAGCCGCTGGCCCAAGTCCACCAGCGACAGCACGTGCCAGGAAACCCGAAAGGCCCCTGAGACCAACAGCCAACAGGTACAACACTGCCCCAGCAGCTCCTGCCTTCGCAGGTGCTCTCCTGCTAACAGAACCATTACCCGCCGGCAGCTGCCCGTGTCAGAAACCCAGGAGGCCACTCAACTCATCCATTCTACATCAGCCTTTCCCAAATCTGCCTTCTTCTTGGCATCAGCATCTTAATGAACAGCATTAGCCTCTTCCTTGGTCCTCCCGCTTCTCTGCAGTCCAAATTCTCAACTCTGCATGACCAGGGTCATCTTCTTAATCATGTTGCTCCCTTGCTTAATTCTTCCAAGACTCTCGATTGCTCACAGAATCAAAGCTGAAGCCCTTCCGCAAGACCCTGTAGCCTCCGCAGCTCCTTGCCATTCCCATACCCTCCTCACATGCAGAAACGCAGGATCCTCACACACACACACACACACACACACACACACGCATGCACACCTGCCGACTCCTTCATGCTCCACTGGCTAACTTCTATGTGTCCTTCAGAGACTCGGCTCAGGAAACCCTTCCTCCCGGAGCACGAGATCCAGCCCCAGTCTGGCTGAGGGCCCTCGTAGGAGCTTTCATGGCCCCCTGACGACCACTCCCCTAGCATTATCCTGACTGGTACTTGTGCTTCTTCTGCTACCCCACAGGACTCTGAAGTCAGAATGGTGGTCACGTCTTGTTCACCTTTATGTTCCCAGCACCCTGTCCAGGACCTGGCGTGGGAATAGGTGCTCAATAAATATTTATCAAATAAATACGTAATGGCAAATAAAGTTGAGAAAAAAAATTTTTAATTTTATTTATTTATTTCAAGGACACAGGGACAGAGAAAAAAGGAGACACAGATCTTCCATCTGCTGGTTCACTCCCCAAATGCTCACAATGGCTTGGGATGGGTCAGGTCAATGCCAGGAGCCAGGAACTCCGTCCAGGTCTCCCATGTGGGTGGCAGAGACCCAAGTGCAGGGGCCACCTTCTGCTGCCTCCCAGGTGCATCAGTAAGAAGCTGGATAGGAAGCTGAAGCGGGACTGGACTCCAAGCAGTTGGGTATGAGATGTGGGTGTCCCAACCATTGGTTTAACCTGCCGTAGCACAATGCCCACCCCAAGTTGAAAACATTTTAAAAGTAGCACAAATAATGCTAACTGCACGACCTAGGAATTAGGTATATGGTATTCCAATGTTTCTGAATGGTCAAAAAAATTTAAAATAAAACCCTGAGGGGTGGAAGTACACAAATAAATATGCCCTAAACTGTCCACACGTTTGTTTGTTTGTTTGTTTGTTTTTTTCAATGTAAATTAGGGGCAAGTGTTCAGTGCAAAAGTTAAGACAGTGCTTTGGGATACCAGCATCCGGTATCAGAGCGCCGGGGTTCAAGTCCTGGCACTGCTTCCAATCCATCTTCCTGATAATGAGCACTGTGGGAAGCAGCAGGTAATGGCTCAAGTATTTAAGTCTCTGCCACCTACCAGGGAGACCCAGAGGTCTAGGGTCCAGGTTCAGCATTGGGTGGTGTGGACATCTGAACAGTGAACCAGCGGATAGAGGATCTCTTTCTTTCTCTGTCTCTGTCTGCCTTTCAAACACAGTGAAAATAAGTAAGATTTTCACAAATACAAACAGTAAGCCGAGAGACACAACAGGATTCTAGGAACAAGAGAGAAAGAAAACTCATCTCCCTCTGTTCAATGCTGCCTTCACTGTGGGCTCCTCCAAGTCTCCTTCTCCTTTCTAGATTCTCTCCACCTGTCCCTTCCTCTTTCACCCTGGCGAAGCCTGGGACTTGGTGTTACCTGAGGGGTCATCAGAAGTGGAGCCCACATTGATCTGGACGATCTCAAATGGGGGTGCTGGATCATCTCCCAGGAGGCACAGCGGGGGCGCCAAGGATTCTGTCTTCACGTGCAGCACCTCCCCTACTCCTGGGCCCTGGGTGACAGTTGGGGTGGAGCAGGGTGAGAGAAAGACAGAACAAGAACAAGGTAGGTGTTGAGAGTACGAGCAAGAAGAAAGCTTTATGGAGCTCACAAACCACTATTTGACATTCTGGTCTGAATGGTACTAAGTGTCTCTGGCCCCTGTTCCTTCTCTCTTCCTGGGAGTGCTGAAGAAGTCGCAGGATTTCCAAGACTGGGCACCTGGGCCAGTCCAGGACTCTCAGCAGTGTCCAGCGTTCTTCTCCCCAGCCCCACGTTGCTGACTATTAAAAGACATCCTTTCCACCTGTCCACACCAGAGTGGGGTGTGGAAAAGGATAGGCAGAAAAAGGCAAAGGCAAACCCCACCTATCGCTTCCTTTGCATCTGTGTGGGAAGGGAGCGGGGGGGGGGGGGGGGGGACAGAGGCTCTGCCAGCGACCAGGGGGCGGGACAGGCTCTCACCTGGCCCGAGGGCTCCGTGGAGAAGTGTGATGACTCCGAGCTGAGAGAGGAGGAAGAACAGGGGGAGGACGGCTCAGACTTCACCTGAAGATCTGGAGGGAAGGGGGGTAAAACGTGTAACCAGCAAGCGGTCACCGAGAAGAGACGTGGGGGCCGCGGTGGGAGCTCCACCAGGGCGTCCCAGCGAGCACACGCCAGTGCGGGGGACTAAAGGGAGAGAAGTGCACGCGCATTTATGCGGAGCAGGCACAGGAAGCAGGGGACGCGGGGGACTGCGTGGTTTCAGGGGACGGTGGGAAGATGAGGGTTTCTCAAAAGGCAGCTCACCCGGGAAGATAGGCAGAGGGTCCCAGGGGGGCTCAGGTGGGCTGGCATCCATCCCCACATCCAGAGAGCTGCTGTCAAACTGCACACGGGAGCAGAGCAGAACAGGAATGTAAGACAGAGGCCGGGCTTCTGGGACCTCTCCCACCCACCCACCCAGGGTTACAGAAAGTCCGGGGCAGCAATACCGGGACATCCTGTTCTGGGCAAGGAAAAAGCTGCGCCGGCTCGTCGGCCACTTCATCCAGGCCGGCGTACAAGGTGCTGTCTGCAAAGGAGTGCGCTGTCACGGGGGTCGCCGGCGCCCAGCCTACACGCCGCACACACTCCGCGCCCCATCCCTCATTGGCTCGGCTCGGCCAGACCCACTGCCCGCCCACTTGAAAAGTGATACAACCAAAGAACGTCAGCCCCTCCTTCCTCGACCCCGGAACAACTCGCCATTGCACACGCTTCCCGACTCCCGCACCCCTGAGCGCTCAGCGAGCCCCCCCTGCTCCGCCCTCCTCCGATGGTGGACTCCGTGTTTGCCCTGCCTCCCTCTTGGGGCCTCCGCTTCCTTCCCGCTGTGTGTCCCAGGTACACAGTTTGCCATAGCTCTCTCCCCTCCCCGTGGCCTCACTCCGCAGACCCCAGTCCTCCGGGCTCAGCAGGTTGTCGGTGAAGAAACGCGTCGGGTCCGCAATCTCGCTGAGGAGCATTAGCTCCGCCATCTTCCCCCCGCCCCCCAACCATGAGACGGTTTCCAAGGCCCGCCTCTCCCCGCCGTCCGCCAATCAGCTGGGTGTTAAAGAAAAGGAGGCGTCCCGGAAGCTCAACGGACCAATAAGAGGCCTGCGTGCTGAGCACATGAGTCAATAGAAGCGATGACTGTACAGACAGAGCCAATGGGAGCAGGGCAGCGGGAACGGGCGCTGCGGCGTACCGGGCTGTAGAGTGAGCGCATGCGCCAAACAGCACCCCCACCCCACCCCCCGACAACGAGCCTGGGAGATGTAGTTCCCGGGATTTCAAAGACCACCACCTTCCCCACGCCGGTCGTAAATTTAGAAGTGTATTCGTCTTCCAGACGTCTTCGGAAAAGGATAAGCCCCCGCCCCGCCCCCCAAAAGCGGCCCCCTGAGATCAGCGCCACCTCCTCCAGGAGGGCAAAGCTGGGGGAGAGGGGCTGAAATCTCCCCTCCGCTCTGCCCACCACCACATCCTACAGCAAACACAATTCAACAGGCTCCTGTCTCTGTTCACTTTTAATCAGCCAAACATCTTGCGCAGACCCTGAGCCAGCCCTGCCTTCTGTTTCTTCTCCCGATTGGCCACCTTCTCCAACTCCTCGTGGGCCGCCCGGTTTTTAGGATCTACGGCCAGCACCTTCTTGAGGTCAGCAGATGCTTTTTCCAGGTTCCCGAGGGCAGCCTGGGCAACCCCCCTTCGGTATAAAGCCTTTAAGTGGCCAGGCTCCCGCTCCAGGACCCTGTTACAGCTCTGGACCGCCAGCTGGGGCTGCCCTAGCAGCAGCTGACACGCGGCCAGATTGGCGTGAAGAACAGTTCGTTCTGGGGGACCCGGAGGGGGGAGAGTCAGCAGCAGCCGAAGGGCCCGTCCGTAGCATCTGGCAGCCCCTTCAGGGTTTCCGGCTCGAAACAGTTCTGTGCCCCTTGCCCGTTCTTCCCTCGCCAAGGCCTCCTTCTCGCTGATCTGCAGCTGCCAGGAGTCCCGGCCCGGAGTGAAGGAGGCCAGCGTGAGTCCGGCAGGAGGCCCAGAGTGCCCAGGGAGCCGAAGCTCTGCTTCCTCGCCTTGACACATGGACTCCAAGCATTTCTCTACAAGCTCCCCCCAAGCTTCCTCCCTCCACGGCCCCATGCCAATAGTGAGCTCCGTCCAGCCCTCCGGAGGCCCTGACCCTAAAGGAAACCCGCAAGCCAGCACCCGGCAGCGGGAGCCCAGCTTGGGTTTGTCCAGGCCGCGGCCGCGGGTTATGATCTTCTTGACAAAGCTCCCATCGGGACAGCGCCAGAGGTCGGGAGCGCGCAGGGGCTCTGGCGCCTCGCTGGGTGATCCCCGAGACGTATCAGAGCCTCCTTCAGGCCCGGCGAGCTGTGTTGGGGTCCCGCGAGGATGCTCCAGACGCCGGCTGGCTGGATCTGGACTCAGTCCCAGCTGAAGGCTTTGAGTAGGAGGCTCTGGGGGCTGCAGCCTAATCTGAGTAGCCGAAGCAAGGTTCCCCCGGGAGTCCTGTTCCCACGGTTGCTGCGGTGGAGAAGCATCCTTCTCTCCCACTGGAAGGACCGGTGGCGTCTCCATTTGGCTGCCTGGGCCCTCCGACCCGGGCTGACCTGCTGGAGTCGAAAGGGATGCTGCAGGCTCAAGTCAGCACCTGAAAAGAAAACCAAAATAGTACTGACTGCGCGATCCGTGCCCATGATGCTTTTCCGGCTCCTCCCATCCTGCCACCGAGACCCTGGCCCTGAAAGTTCTCGATTGTTTCTGTTTGTTTTTGCTCCAAAATTCGGTCCTACTCGAGACCCCGTTTTCCCCAGACCTGGCTTAGAACTATAAATTCCACAATTCCTTGCGGCTCGGGGAGCCGCCCCTACTACGGACACCCGACTAGGTCAAAAAGCGCGTAGGCAGTTAGCGCGTGTAGCAAGGCGGCAAGAACGTGGCCATTTGAATCACCTCTCCTTCCGAAGCGCCCCTTCTTCCGAAGCTAAATGCTTCAATGAGTGCTGCGCTCCGAGTCTTGCCCAGGAGGACACGCTGCGGGGCAGAGGTGGGCACGGAGGCAGGTGGAGAGAGACTAACAAACCCTGCAGCCTGCGAGACCACGAAGGAGTCAAACTCCTGACAGCCAGTCGGGAGGAGGGAGGAGCTGCCTAGCACGCCTATTGGTAGTGACATCATTTCCTCCGCAACCGCGAAGCGCCAGACCTTAGCAACCGAGCTAGGCCGAAGCAACAGAACTCGACAGAATCAAACCGAGCCCGGCGCGGTCCTTCGAACCAGGCTACTCAATGTGGAGAAGCCCCGGAATGGGAAATCAGGGTGGACCAGGATGAATGGCAAAGGACGGGGTGGTGGTGGATGGCAGTGGCTGCGGACATTTTGGCGCTATCGGGCGCTCCTGTGGTATCACTCCTCTGTTCTGAGGATCCCGGCGAGCTTTGCCCATTCAGTCCGGGCTGCTCCGGGACGAGTCTTCAGGCTTCTTCCTCTCCAGCCTGCTCGGTTCGCTCGCGGGGACCCCTTGAGGCTTCTCCCTACGCTTCCGCCGTTCAAGCCCCTCCATCGTTAAGCAGTCTCAGTGCTATCGAAACTTGAAAGTGCACGCGCATCCGCCGAGGAACTTGCTAAACTGCAGGTTCTGACTTAGGAAGTCTGAGCGGAGTCCGTGATTCTGCATTTCTACAGGCAGCCGGAAGACGCTGAGGCTGCTGGGTCCGGGAACCAGGCTTTGAATAGCAAGATGCTAGAAACTGCTTTGTGCCCCAGCAGTTCGTCCTAATTTTCGCGAGCATAACTGGCATAACCCGTTCCACTGAGTGTAGCAGTGAAAAACTGGTCCTCCTTGTCCTCCTAATAGAAGGTGCAGGTCCTTTTGTGAATCAGACTTGCTTGCCCAGCTACCTGCACAGGCAGGGCCACCTTCTCTTCAGGGAAGCCAAATCGTATTCTTAGCACCTCACTTTCATTTCCTCTTCAGCTTGTTTAACACCGGCCGCGGCGCCGCGGAGTACAAGGACTGTGCTGGGACAGCCAGGAGGGGGAGCAGGTTGATCATTAGCCTGAGACTTGTGACAAACAGTTCTCTCAAAGAGGGCGTTGGTGCAGGGGTTAAAACACTGCTTGGGAGAACCACATCCTGTGGCAGACTGAACTCCTGTAATGTAAAGGCAGGACCCAGCCTCTGTCTCCCTTAGTCTGGGGTGTCCTTTCCTATCCTTTAGCAAAAGGATTCAAATTGAGAGAGTTGTATAGCTGTCCTTACAAGTTTCTAATCACTGGAGTCATTTGTTTCTCCAATAGATAAACCCTGATGGCCAGTATTGTCTGGAGGGGTTTGTTTAGGGGAATTCTGGGTCCAGGCAGGGAAATCCCAGGTTTGGAGCAGAAAATGACTACTCCCCACCCCCACCCCCCAGACCAAACGAAAGCCACCTGGCCATCACACGTTCCCTAAAGGACAGGGCATTGCTGACAAAACAAACGAAGGTCACAGCATCATTGACCAACCAGGAATTTGTACATGAGCTGATCACTCACCTCTCAGCCCCAAGTCCAATCTGTAAGAACCTTGACCCCTAACTCCTAGGGGAGCCTGGGAATTAAGCAATAGCTGCCAGCTCCTTGCTCTACATTTTGCAATAAATACCTATTCCTTCACCCTGAGGTCAGCAGTCGAGTTGGGGGTGTTGCACGGCAACAAGAGTTCTTGGGTTCAAGTCTGGGTTCTGCTTTGATTCCAGCTTCCTGCTAATGAACACCCTGGGAGGCAGCCAGTGATGGCTCAAGTACCTGAGTCCCTGTTAACCCGCGTGGGAGACCAGGACTGAGTCCAGGCTTCTAGTTTTGCTCTGGTCCAGCCCTGACTGTTGCAGGCATTTGGAGATCGAAACAACATTGGTAGTTCCCTGTCTCTCTGCTGTTCAAATTACAATAAAAAATAAATAGAAATTCAAACAAACAAGGAAGCAACCAGTTCTCTCCCTGATTTGTGCTTGAGCCTCAGATCACCAGCCTGGACTTTTTCCTCACATTTTATTTCTGGATTCTGTGCCACAGTAACCTTGGTCGACTGCCACAGCTTCCTGCAATGACTAACTCACTCCCGGGGTCCCCAGGATCCTACTGAGAATGGACCTCTTCCACAAACCTCTTCCCTTTCCCATTCCAGGAACTTCAAGGAAGGAATGTCAGTCTAGAATGAGTCACAAATGGCTTGATCACACTCTCATCCATGGGGAAAGATTGCTTTACATACGTGTGTGTGTGTGTGTGTGTGTGTGTGAAATTGTTAGAAGAGTGGGGGGGGGGCTTCCATCCCCTTGGGCCATCTTCTGTACTTTCCCAGACACATTAGCAGGGAGCTGGATCAGAAGTGGAAGTGGAGCTGCCAGGTCTAGAACCTGTGCCCATATGGGATGCCAGCATCACAGGGGGAAGCTTAACTTGCTAAGCCCAAGATTGCTAATATGTATTATGTACACCTTAACTGAGAGGATCACTCAGCTGCTCTCAACGAAAGGAAATTGTACAATGTACAAATGTATCACTCTGTAATGTTCTGTTATTGCTTTGCATGTGTATGTTTCAGTTCCAGCATTCCAGTCGGCAGGGGTCTTATCTCTTTCTTTCGTGTTTTTGCCATTCACTCAGATATTTCTTGAGCACTTACAATGTGCCAGGCAGCCTGCTAAGAATTAAGGGTACATAAACAAATAATATATGTCCTCCTTGAACTTAGTCATCAGGAATAAAAATGTGGTTTTATTAAAGATATATTTATTTATTAGAAAGGCAGAGTTATAGAGAGGCAGAGAGAGAGAGAGAGAGGAAGAGAGAGAGAGGTCTTTCATCAGGTGGTTCACTCCCCGATGGCCACAATGGCCAGAGCTACACTGATCTGAAGCCAGCAGCCAGGAGCTTCTTCCAGGTCTCTTACACAGGTGCAGGGGCCCAAGCAATTGGGTCATCTTCTACTGCATTCCTAGGTCATAGCACAGAGCTGGGTCACAAGTGGAGCAGCCCGGGACACAAACCAGTGCTCCTACAGGGTGCTGGCTCTGCAGGCAGCGGTTTTACCCACTGCACCATAGCGCCGGCCCCCAAGATGTGTGTGTGTTTTTTTTTTAATGACCATCCATATGAACACACAGATTTTAAACTTTTAGAAGAAGACTTAGAGGGCCCCAGAGAAGACTACCAGGGGCCTGAGGATTCCCCCAGGTGTCAACTCAAGGAACATAGAAGTAAGAAGGGGTCAGGGTGTGAATGAAGACTCAGAAACGAGGAATAGTGCTTGAATGTTGACTGATGCGCCCTTTGCTCCCTGTCCAATTCCCTGTCCCTTGAGTCTTATTACACCAGAGCTCAGCTCTCTATGAATAGGAGAGAAACAGCTTGTGAGGTTTATACCCCTGGGCCTAGCGAGGAGAGCACAGCATCTGCGGAAGACACAAAAAGAGGATGACAAGTGAAAAATTGCTTACCTTTTAGGCTAAAAGACTGGACTTGGAAGTGAGGAGGAAGAAATGTCTCTCTCCTCTTGGCCCTAAAAATCTGAGAAGGAAATGGTTTGCAGCCTTGGGGGGAAGATATGAAAAGGAATCTTCTTCTCCAAGTGACCGATCCACCCCCTTCCTTTCACTGCACATGTCCTCTGCTCTCTCCCTCCCTGTGATCTTGTAGGGACTGATGGCAGCAACACCCCCAGGTCCGGTGTATGCAGCTGGGACATGACTTACCTTGTGCTGGAGACCTCTCCCCAGCCTCAGGTGAGAGGAGCTCACAGGACCCTTGGGAGAGTGGGGTTCTTGGAAAAGGTCAAAGAGCCATCTGGGAGCCTGGAAGGACAGGAAGGGGTGGTCTGATTCTGTTCTGTTACTGTGGAAGGTGAGCTGCATTCTGGCATAATCCTCCCTCCCTCCAGGCCCTTAGAAGGGGTGCTCTCTGTCTTTCTGAAGATCAGTCTGAGGGGAAACCCCCGTGTGACAAGTTTCTGGGGATTTACCTGCACATCAGCACATTTACATCTCACCTGAAGCCTTCCAAGATGGTTCAGAGGAACTAACCACCTCCTGCCACTCCCCATGCTCTTAAAAATCCAACCTGGGAGGCAGAGCCCTAGGAGAGATTCAGGAGCTGGTGCAAGCCGGTTTGCAAGCAGGTGGGTGTTCCTTCCTTCTTGCACACACAGAGCATATGATTCTTACACTCTGAATAATAACTATTATTTCTAAAAATTCTGTTTGTTTTTAAATTTTTTGTTTGAAAGGCAGAGAGGGGCTGGCACTGGGGCACAGCGAGTTAACACCCTGGCCTGAAGCGCTGGCATCCCATATGGGCGCCGGTTCGAGACCCAGCTGCTCCACTTCCGATCCAGCTCTCTGCTGTGGCCTGGGAAAGCAGTGGAAGATGGCCCAGTCCTTGAGCCCCTGCACCTGCGTGGGAGACCCAGAGGAAGCTCCTGGCTCCTGGCTTCAAATCGGCGCAGCTCTGGCCATTGCAGCCAATTGAGGAGTGAATCATTGGATAGAAGACCTCTCTCTCTGCCTCTCCTCTCCCTGTGTAACTCTGACTTTCAAATAAAAATAAATAAATCTTAAAAAAAAAAAAGAAAGAAAGAAAGACAGAGAGACAGAAAGAAAACTGGAAGATAGAGATCTTCCATTCACTGGTTCACTTCCCAAATGCCTGCAACAGCCAAGGCTGGGGCAGGCCAAAGCCAGGACCCAAGTCCCTTCTGGGTCTCCCACGAAGATGGTAGGGACTCAAGTACTTGAGCTATCAACTGCTGCTTTGCGAGGGTCTGAATTAGCAGTTGCCTGGATTATAAGCGAAGCTGGGACTCAAATCAGGCATCCCAAGCAACATCTTAACGATTTGCCTTCTATTTTCTAATACTTAAGAGCAATTTTTTTTTTTGACAGGCAGAGTGGACAGTGAGAGAGAGAGACAGAGAGAAAGGTTTTCCTTTTTTCCATTGGTTCACTCCCCAATGGCTGTTGTGGCCGGTGCACTGCGCTGATCCGAAGCCAAGAGCCAGGTGCTTCTTCTGGTCTTCCATGAAGGTGCAGGGCCATTGCACTCCTGGGCCACAGCAGAGAGCTGGACTGGAAGAGGAGCAACCAGGACAGAATCCGGCTCCCTGACAGGGATTAGAACCCAGCGCCACAGGCGG